CTTTTGAGCGAGGCAAACAGACGAGAGCGTTGTGCATGTGGATTGTGCAAATCTGATACCCGGTATCCTAAAAGTTTGGACGGATGGTGGAATTTTTTCCCTTTTCAAAACCAAAAACCCAAGAGGAGAAATTCCTGACATTCAGTGATAGACGGCAATTAATCTATTAGGCTTTTTGGCTAAAAATAGAGAAATCAATTTGTTATTATTAGATTATTTTAAAATTTCCCCTCTACTGCTGAACATGAGCTAAGCTGTTGAATGGTTAGCATATGAGCTAACCATATAAGCTAGCTTCAATTTTTATTGAATTATTCTCTAATCGGTTGCTTATTATGACTCGAATATACTCCTGTAATGCATACTGCAGGCCTTTTTTGTCTGGCTTTCTCGGATATTTCACCTGTTCGCCAAAAATGAGATTATATCCCTGGCAGTGTCTTACACCGGCGCTTACATATTGTAAAAGCCTTGAACGAAAGCTTGACAGGCGTAGCAACAGTAAATAAGGAGGGCTGGGATTAGCGAAGGGTCAATTGCTTTATCTACTTGAACAAATTCATTAAACAGAACTATTTTTGGCAAAGAAATTATAGTATAGATCTTTTCAGATTAAGATTCAAAGTCTGATCAGTTATCTGTTGAAATTATATACACTGCATTGAACAATGATGAAGAGTTTTTTTTTTTTTGTAGTGCTGGCATGCTCAACCAAGACGTGATAATCAGCATTAATGGACAACCAGTGTATTCCACGGAAGATGTAAGTCAGGCAGTACAGTCGAATGAAATTCTCTCTTTGATGGTGCGCCGTGCTCAGAAAGAGATCACACTAACAGTAGTTCCTGGAGAAGTGGACTGATAAGGATCATGCTTCTAAAAATTAACTGAATAATGATAGCAGATGACATCATGAAGTGTAAAGGCTCACTGATGCAGTTTGATACACACATATGCAGGTCTTTTATGTGTAAGAACTTTTGTATATATTCTTCTGACAGATTTTGCCACTTTTTGTTGATTTTTTTTTAGGAGTTTTAAGTTGCAAAGTATACTGTATGTTATTGTTATTCATTACCACTCGAAGGTGTGTGGGCAGTTCTTTTTTGTTCAGAATTACAGTAAGAATACTAGTAAATACAGTAAAAAAAAACTAGTTTTCAGCATCATTAATCCACTATTCAGTGTAACTTGATCTTTCTAATAAGCTAATTTGGTGCTCAATAACATTTGTTATTGTTAGCAATGCTGAACAGTTTGTGCTGCTTAATATTTTATAGAAAATGCTACACTTTTCAACCTCCTGAAAATATATATGTAAATATAACTCATTTGTAACATCACAATGTTCTGAATGTCACAAATTAATCTTTTCTGGAAATGTTTTTTTTAATTTCTGTTAGAAAATGTTACTGTTCAGTAATGTATGAGACAGTTAACGAAAGCACTTAATAAAAAAACAGTTTGAACTTGTGCATAGTGTCTTAAAAATGGATGCACCTAATCTTCAGCTGCTAAAAATTATTCACCAAGTGTTTTTTTAACAAAAAGAAGAAAAATGCCCACAAACATGAGACAAAAAAAGGTTATGTTGTACTGCATTGACCAGCAGTGTTCAGCGTGCTTGTTTCACTCTACCTCTAGCCTTATTGATTGTGTGGAGTGAAGTGGCTTTAACACTGTATGCTAAAAACGCTGCACTTTAAACACTGCTGAGACTAGTAGCTTAATAAGACATCAAAGTAACTAATTACTTTTTGATGTAACTCAGTAGTATAAAGAAGAAAAATTAGCAACCTATTGAAGGCAGAACATCAGGTTTGCTCAGCTAGGGGATACGCATTGTAAACAAAGAAAGATGTGGTGACTGGGTGTGGAATCATGGGAAATGTCTTCACATCCATCAAGACATGTTCATCTTGGATGAGGTAATATTTCTCAACTATAGTTGGGGGTCACTCAACTACTTTGAGTCACCCACTGTGTTCTTGTGATGCATGCCTTTGTCTTTGAAAGCCGATGTCACTTCTGCCAGACACATTCATGTGTCTGCGGAAAACATGTTAACGAATGTGACGGTGCACACTGTATCAGCATAAAGAGCAATTAAGAAAATGACTATTTAACTGTGGTGGATTATACTGCTTTGCTATTATCATATTGCATAAACAAAAACTACACCGGGACTGCCATTTAATGATTATTCACCTATATTACTAATATGAAGTCACAAACCCTTGTTTACCATTTTTCATTTAAATGTGGAAAGGCTGGTGGCTTCTCTCACAAAAAAAAAACAATCCTGCAAGAGTCCTGTAGGATTTTGGCTATAAGTGCATGAATCCTACAGGAATCCGCTTGTTAAGTGTGACAACATGCGAAGCAGCTTCCGGGTCCAAGCGCTCTAATCAACTGTATGGGGAGACTCATGCAATGGTAATTATAAACGTTTACAAAGCGATTTGATACTTTCGAAAATCACGATCGCAACATATATGTCCATGCCTAATATCCGATGGCCAGAAAGTGATTCATTTTTTTATAAATTGTTAAAATTTTGGTATTTGTGATGCAGCAAGCCCAGAGATTTTTGTGTACACTATAACTTTATATAAAATTAACTTTAATGTGTGATATGAATTAAAAGTGACCATAAACAAATAATTTCTCAACTCAAATGAGTGGCGGCTTGGACCCGGAAACAGTATTACATACGTCACCAACACGTCATCACTTAACAAGCGGATCCTAAGGTGAAATCCTGAATAAAAATTCTACAGGACAGAGTACTTTCCTAAAGGTGTCCTGTATGACTGTGTTGTGTTCTGCAAGATAGTAACACTTCTGCAGGATTTTTAAGTACTTACAGCATTGCTGTACGTATTTTCACTGATGTCCAGAAATAGGATTGTATATCATCCTAATGAAATGCTACAATTCCTGCAGGACGCCAAATTCATGGATTTACTGGAATGCCAATGTTTATTTCTGATAGATATCATGGACCTGTATTCATGCATTCAACTGACCTAAAACATTTCTCAAATTCCAGAATCCACACAAACAAACAATACAAAACAAAAAAGCAGCTAGTTTAAGTCAGCAATTTTCTGTACACAATAAATATGCCATTTATAACTGCACGTTTTTTTTATAAAATATATGTAAATTTCATTGTAGATATATACAAAAAAACTGAGATTTTTATCATTCCACATGTTTAAAACAGAGCTATTTATCGTAGCAAGATGATCATTTACATTTCTTACAATTACAGAACATTTTACAGTTGTTGTAATTACAGTACCTTTCAGCATTTATACATGTACTGTGTGTACACATCACAGACAACATCAGAAGGACACTGTTACGCTGCAACACTGGGGGGTGAAGCACATAAGATGTGAATTCACTCGAATATAGGCATGTAATCATACTTTTTATTGGCTAAGGTAAGTCAAAAATGTCTCTCTTTTTTCTAGACTTAATCGTTTCTGCAAATTAATGAGCCACATTCTGTTATCATCTGTCTACTTTTATCTTTAAGCTCTTATGACTAATAAATACATTTTAAAAAATTACATTTTCGGTCATCTTTGTTTGTTATTTAATTTGAACACACATAGTATTGCTTAGAAAAGGTGTTTCTTATACAATATCCCTTTAGCAACTCAAATAGATTAGTATACATAATAGTTTTTAGGATGTCTGTAGAATTAATTATTGAATTATTTTACTTAATAGAATGATAAATAATCATTGTAGAGTATTTTTGGTTTCATTTTTTAGCCAAGTGCATACAGAAATGTCATTTTCTGCCCAATTTTTTTTATTTTGGTGCATTGCTTTCATTTTGGTTTGTGGCAAACCTCAAAGTTTTCATGCACTGCAAGTATTTAATATTTTCTGTCTTCAAATAAGGAATCAATTTCACTATCTGAAAGATATTTACAATTTTGTGTAATAGCGTATTGAATTACATATACAGTTAATATCAGAATTATTAAACCACCTTTGATTTTCTTTTCTTTTTTAAATATTTCCCAAATTATGTTTAACAGAGCAAGGAAATTTCACAGCATGTCTGAATATTTTTTCTTCTGGAGAAAGTCTTATTTGTTTTATTTTCAGCTAGAATAAAAACAGTTTAATTTTTTTTAAGTACCATTTTCAATATATTAACCCCTTTAAGCTTTATTTATTTTCAATAGTCTACAGAACAAACCATCATTATACACCAACTAGCCTAATTACCCTCACCTGCCTAGTTAACCTAATTAACCTAGTTAAGCCTTTAAATGTTACTTAAAGCTGTATAGAAATGTCTTAAAAATATCTAGTCAAATATTATTTACTGTCATCATGGCAAAGATAAAATAAATCAGTTATTAGAAATGAGTTATTAAACTGTTCAGAAATGTGTTTAAAAAAAACTTCTCCGTTAAACAGAGAGTGGGGAAAAAAATAAACAAGGGGGGCTAATAATTCAGGGCGGCTAATAATTCTGACTTTAACTGTAGATGTTATTTTAAAGCAATAACGTAACATAAGTTGCAACATTCCAAAGCACCTCGTTTGTTCAGTAAATTGTCCGTCCAACAGTAAACAAATTTCATACATAATGAACAGGAAACATGCAAGTCACAAAACGTGAAACTTTTTACAGCTCTTCACCTAATAGTGTGAACAGCGTATGGGAATTCTGCCAAGAGTTGCGTGCTTAATAGACTCTATTATTGTATGTGTTTTTAATTGCAAGCTGTTTCCTAACATCTGTCTGTTGACATCTCTTTGTAGGAATTCAGTCTAAAACAAGATCTGTAAATTCTCTGCAGCTGTTCAGGCAAAAGCTGCAATCCAACTAAACGTGCTGACTTTTTTCACGTCGTTTAGCAACGCAAAGAACTAGGAAAGAGAAGTGTGTTTTGAAGATACAGAACATAAATCCTAATCAACTTTATGTTGTTTGGTTCATAAAGACTACACTCAGATAGTGATAATTACTGATTAAGAGACAATATTTATTTACAACACAGCTTCAAATAAACACTTTACAAAAGAAACCTGAAAGAACAGTATTTTACAGCTAACAATGGCAAATGAGGCCTATGTAAGTCCACATGCATACAGTGTATTTATGAAAAGTGTATGAAAGACAGCCACCTTTATGTCAGTAGAAAGTGCACCAGTTGCTGCTGTCACTGGGAGTCAGTCCACCTGTTATCAGGAGAATCAGGTCCACAAACCACCAGATGCCAAGACCACCCAGGGTTAGTAGTTTTCCCACCGCAGTCCCAGTATGTCCGAGACAGAAACGATCGACGCCGAAACATCCCAGGAAAAAGGAGTACAGTAGAGTGGTGATGAAGTAGTGTCCTGTGTATCTTAAAGATAAAAAAAAAAAACATGTTAAAGGGATAGTTCACCTAAAAAAATGAAAATTACCTCATCAATTACTCTCCCTTGTGTGGTTTCTTTCTTACACAAAAGAAGATATTTTGAAGAATGCCCATCGTGGGGACCCATAGTATGAACAAATATCTTATATGGAAGTGAATATGCCCCAATATATCTTTTTTTCTGTTCGACAGATGAAAGAAACTCAGGTGCTGAATAAGTGAAGGATGAGTAAATGATGGCAGATTTTTTGGGTGAAATATTTGTTTAAAAAGAAAATGCCAAAAAAAGACGCACACTCGTTTTCGTTATTGGCATGTTGATTGTTAGCATTAATAACGGGGAAAGTTTCTGTTTACTGTCATGCTTGTGGATTAATATAGTTGTCTACCAAGGATCAGCCTTGAGATTTAAAAAACACAGAGAGAGAGACTCTCAGTAAAAGGGATCCATGGTACTTTACTGCCCTCTTGTGGCAGCTAAAATAAATATAATACAACTGTTAACAAACAGAGGTCAAATAAAATAAAATACTTAAAGTCAAATTAAATATTATAAGACTTAAAATTTTTGGCAAATTACTTTTTCCATTTCATTTGTGATTACTGGATAAGGATATGTCGATTATTTTAAGCATGTTGATGTTACCATTTGGTCACATTAAGTCAATATATATTGACTTATCCACAACACATGGACATGACCTCAATCATTTTTGGTGATTTAATATATATCCCAAACATAAAATACAATTCTAGCAGCATTTTAGCTGATTGTACAAAATCTTGATCTATATTTGAGGTGTCAGTATGGTTAAAAAAAAAACACTAAATTATTTACTATAAATTACTCTGGTAGGAGATATCACAGCTTCTGTTTCTTTTTTAACTTCTACTTTTTTTGTAAACATTTAGTATTATTTGTTTGGGATTTGTGTTTTCACATTCTTATTTTAATGCCTGATTATTAAATTATTAAAATGATTATAATTACATTTAATATTTTTAAGAATGTTTTTTGGAAGAGTGCACTTGCATTGTGATGATATTATATTGTCATTCTGGCATTATATAATAAGTAGCATAAAATCTAATCTTAAAATTATAATAATATCGTTTATTGACATATATTTTGGTGCAAGATATCATACAACAAAAAATAGATATAGTGGCATGCCTAACTAAGACTAGGGCTGCGCGATTAATCAAAATGTAATCTAAATCAATGTTCAGAACCTATAATCGATCAATTTTTTCATGACAATTTTTTGTATTACTTTGGCTACCGTGTGTGGAGTCATGTGACCCTGCTCTGTTAAGGCTACTTTATATTTCTGTGTCAAAAGCACAGGCATGGTCTAGCACAGCCTTTGTGCAGTTCCTTACTTTTGTGAGCACATTACATGTGAGCATATTCTTTGTACAAAACTTATTAGTGAACTATGAAAATAAAATGATCGTTCATTATTCATAATCGAGTTAAAAGGTTCAATTAATCAAGATTTAGATTTGAAGCCAAATCGCCCAGCTCTAATTAAGACCATACTGAAAACAACTATAGGGAGACACTGTAAAAGAACTTTCAAAGACTACTTAAAAAAGCTTTGCTAGTAAGCAAGTTTTACACCAACACAAAAACATTATAGAACTATTTCCATTTTAACGTTTAATAAGAAATGCTCTAATATTTTGGTGCCACTGGACAAAAGTACGGTGGCCGAGAGAGCTTAACGTGCTGCAATTTAAGAAAACACGTGAGAAAAATCTTTGAGAAAAGATCTTCATCTGTTTTACAACACACGTGATGCAAATACTCACAACACATAAATTTAAAAAGCGCAAACATTTTACGAAAACACACAGCATTTCCTCACAACACTTTTCAAATAACACAACGGAAAAAAAGACCCTGAAAAGTGACGGACACTGCTATTTAATTTATAGTTATTTAGACTAATAAATACTGGAGACAAGGCAATCGGGATTTAAAATTATCAAACAAAAAAAACTTTCAAAGATCACCTACAACTGCACTGAGCAATAGTCATGGCGTAGCGGTGTCCGTAAGGTTTTTGCATCTTCTTGAAACATTTCTGTTGTATTCCGATAAAAATGCACTGTGTTTTCGTAAATTGTTTGCAGTGTGTGAAAATGCAGCGCATTTTTTATTGTCTATGTGTTAGGATTTGCAGCATGCGTGCCGTCAAACAGATAAAGATATTTTTCTTAATTTGCTGGCATTTTTCCAATTGCATTCATTTTCTTAAATTGCAGCATGTTAAGCTCTCTCAGCCACCATACCAAAGTTATTTCTGAGTAAAAATATTTTCTAGCTGAATATAAAACAGTATAATCTAACATATTATAGAAAGAAAAGTCTAAAAAAAAAGTCTCTACTCTTAAAAAGACAATTTGCAAACAATCTGAAAGTACTGCTAAATTATTGCTATTTTAAATAGCATGCATCCTTTCACTTACAGTAAATGGCATTTAATGAATGAAAATAGCTTTGGCATGAAATCAAACATTAATTTAATTTATTTACATTTCTAAAACATCTACAAAATAAAACCTTGTATTATATTGTGTTTCACTCACTTAATGCATGGTTCATTGCCTCTGAGAAACTCTCGTGGTCCAGCACACTCAATGCCATCAAGTGCTGTGCATAACACCTGGGTATGGTTCACATCTTTGTACACTTGACCACCAAACTATATGGAAAAGCAAATTGTATGTTGTTAACTTGTCTACAAATATTTAAACATTGGTATGTAAGCATCTTCAATGCTCTGAGCCACATATTTTTTGTGCGAAAAAATCTATACAAAAATGTACTTGCCTTTACGCACCCATAACCCAGTTCCTGAAAGGCAGACACATTTCCACCGTGATCAACTGGATCTTGACAGAATATGAATTCCTCCGGTCTGAATGAAATAACAGCACAAATGACCATCAAAAAAGCCGTATCAAAATCTGTAACAGTGCCCAATGTGCACAGGGTTTTGTATTGGACAGCCAAAACGTAGATCTATTCTATTATTTTATCACACATTCAAGCCAAGCCAACTTAAAAAAAACAAAAAAAAAACAAAAAAAAAACATGGAATTCCTAAAAGACTTTCTTAAATGTATTGCCTTGTTATGTCATCCTTCTAAATTTAAACAAAAAATACTGCTAAAATACTGAAATACTGTTCATTTCTAGAATTCACATATCAAGTTATTACAATTTTAGGTAATATTTAAGCACTATTCAGGAGCATTTTCAAACCTTTTCAGCACTTTCAAGTGTAGCAATTTACATAATTACATGCACACCTCATCACATTATACCAGATGCTTTGTTACTAATATAGTATTCAAAGGAACATTCTGGTGGCATGTTTGCTCATAATCAGGGCCAGACGGAATCTGTGGACTTTCTTTGCTATTTCTGCGGAGAATTTTGGTAAAAATCTGCAGATTTCTGCAGAATTATTTTGGGAGTATCCAGCGGAGTATTATAACTAAAACCTTAATATATTAAATAAAAACTAATAAATTACTGAATAAAAACTGAATAAATTCATATTTACAAATTTACTTAAGTAAATAAACAGAATTAATAATGGGATATAAATCAGCAGAAATCTGCGGAATTCTGCGTGCGCAGATTCCGTGTGGGCCTACTCATAATGTAATTTTCTCACATCTTAAATCTTTCATCGTAAATGTATAATCATTTTAATTTTAAAAAAGACAGACAGATCACATGTCCACACTTTAAAGTTACCATTTTATGCAAAAGCAAAAAATATATTTTATTTAAATAATTAATTATTATCTATTTAGTAAAATAAATAGTATGGGTGCAACACAATTACACTTTTAGGCAGATTCAAGCCCTTCATCCAAAATCTTGTAAACAGTTGATTCAAATTCCACCATTTTCAAGTGTTTACGTTTTTAAAATAAATATACACTTACAGGCCTTTATCAGGTACACCTTACTAGTACCATGTTGGACCTCCTTTTGCCCCCAGAACTGCTTTAAACCTTTGTGGCATAGATTTATCAAGGTACTGGAAACATTCCTCAGAGAAATTTGTCCATATTGATTGACATAGTATCACGCAGTTGCTGCAGATTTGTCGGCTGCACATCGATGATGTGATTCTACCATTCCACCATATCCCACAAGTGCTCTATTGGATTGAGTTCTGGTGACCACGGAGGCCATTTGAGTACATTAAACTCATTGTCATGTTCAAGAAACCAATCTGAGATGATTCGCACTTTATGACATGGTGCGTTTTGCTGCTGGAAGTAGCCATCAAAAATGGGTATACTGTGGTCATAAAAGGATTTGTGTCATAAAAGGGTTATTTTTAGAAACAATTCAGATTTGGGGTGGTGTCATAACGAAAGGGTTAGTTTGTTTAAAACTTTAGTTACGGCTAATGAAAATGACATGATTGTCCAAACTATTAATTCATGCATTTCCAAGTTGGTTTAGCGTGTGTGACGAAATAAAAACATTTACTATGCGCTTTGGCGAATGTAAGCAGAATGTCCAATACAAAACTTACCAGGCCGCGTGTTTTAGCAAGATATTTACTTACAGGTATCGACAGAGCACGACAGGTGACGGAGGGTTATACTCGTACTGCTCCGTGTGGTTTGATGTTTCGGTAGGAATAACGCTACCACTCTCCGTCACATTTTCCTCCGGTTGTTCGCTGAACAGAACTGGTTTGCTAGTCGTTACCCTGTTTCCGGGTGGCTCGGTTGAGTTTTGTGAGTGAATCCCTTCTAGACACTGTAAAAGCAGCACTGTAAAAAACAACAAGAACTGTCCGCATAGTAAAATGTAGTTGACTGAAATCTGCGGCATGATTTCACAACAACAGTAAAGCTGAACGGCTAAACGTCTTCCAGCTAATCAACGAGATGGCAGCTGGCTAGCATTGATTCTGCCAGTTATATCTGTAAACGCCTGTCGACATATTATTGGACTAATTTAATTTTAGAATATGCGAGTTACCATGTTGTGCGCTAAAATGTACCATTTTATACTGCTACCACAAGCTAAAACCGAACCGAGAGAGTTGACAACATAAGCGGCGCATTGTGATGACGCGTTATGTGTAGCGTTACGTCATTTAATTTTTTTCAGTGTTTTTTTATTTATTTATTATTATTATTATTATTAAAAGAAAAGCATATAACATTTTACAATAGATAAATACATGTGAGGGGATAAGTATAAACAAAATACAAATGTAAATATGTAATAATTAAATACATTAGAGAGTTCGCACATTTTAACATGCTTAATTCTTATTAGTTTCTTATTTCTTATTACTAATGTAGTAAACAATATAAGTAAATTAACTAAATAAAAACGATTTTTCTGTTGATTAGGATAGACAGTAAAGCCAAATATTATTTTCCCATAAAAATGAAAGATGTTTTGAACAATAGAAATTCTTATTAATATATTTTTGCGCCTAAAAAACTGTAAAGCCGTCTCCTCATATTCATTACAGACAATACAACTTACATCAATCTCACTTTTAAGTTGTTGTAAATAATGTTTTGCTGCATAGAATCTGAGATGTTTATAGGATATTTCTTTCATTTTATTTCTGGTATTATATTTCTGTAACAGCCACACTTTTTTTCCAGCAAATAAATTCACTCTTTAATAAACACATCCAATGAGACCGAATATAAGTAATGATTTCCTTTTGGAAAAATAGTAGGAATAGCTTCATTGTACTCTAAAATAAGTAGGCTATATTTAAATATGTTGTATTCTGTTCAGGGCGTCACGGTGGCTCAGTGTGTTGCACAATCGCCTCACAGCAAGAATTGGAGCTTATTGAATAAGCTAAATTGGCTGTAGTGTATGTGTGTGAATGCAAGAGTGTATGGGTGCGTCCCAGTGTTGGGTTGCGTTTGGAAGGGCATCCACTGCGAAAAACATTTGCTGAATAAGTTCTGTGGCGAACACTGATTAATAAATGGACTAAGCTGAAAAGAAAATGAATGAATAAATGAATGAATTCTGTTAAATTATTCTGTAAAAACAAAAATGAGAGAGAGCAAGAGAGAGGGAGATTACAACTGTTCACAATTCTTACCTCACAAATTTGTCACAAGATTTGGAGATTAACTGGCACGTTATTTTTTATTTCATTTAAAGTTAGTTATTGTTTCACTGTATTTTAACAGTACAACTTTTACTGTTTATTTTAGTACAACTCAGTGTTTTTTTTATGTTTTTTATTTTATGTTACTTATTATGCATATAAGAAAGAACATTTTAAAAAAAACACTATGAACAAAGAGCCAAAAGTGATTACGTAAATAAATCCCAGCAAATTGTACAAGTTTAAAAGATTTACACCAAGAAAGAATTTTCATGCAATATAATTATTATTTTAAGGAGTTCACATATAAATCAAAATTAATTCTGAAAATAAATAAGCAAGGGTATTTCTTTGAAAATGTATATTATTCGATGTAAATTTGAGTCAGAAAGAGCAATAGCTATATCCCATCTTTTTTATTAATTTAATGCCACAAGGACAAGAGAGATATTACACATTCAAAGAGTTTTCTGAAATAGAATATATATATATATAATATGCTCTGAAAACATTTAATTTCATGTAAAGGTATTATATATATATATATATATATATATATATATATATATATATATATATATATATATATATATATATATATATATATATATATATATATAATACCTTTACATGAAATTAAATGTTTTTAGAGCATTACATATATTTAGTGCTTTTTTGTTTTGTGATTGAAGATTAACATATAATTTGAAGTCACAAAATGGTTAAAGTTTGGCTTACATTGAGGCCACTTTTTATGTATATGATATTTTCCTGATTACATAAACATATTAAAAATATGTTGTGGTGTTATGTTTTAATAAACATGTATAATATATCTTAAATAATATCTTATATTTGCCAGTGAATTTGTCAGGAGACTTTAATCACAGTGACCTCTTGTGGTGAAATTCAGATCAAAGAGAAGCAGATTTACATTCGCATGAGAGCTGTTTAAATGTTTACAAAACCCTCCTTAGACAAATTGGCAAATTAAACATAGCCATGAGAAGTATGTTTTAAATTAAAATCTATGACTAGTAAGAAAAAAAAAACAATATAATAATGCTACTAAAAAGTCTTAGTCCTGTAAGATATTGCCAAGTTCCTTTACATAAGTTTAAAATAAAATGTGTGGTAATCTAACCACATGCCCTTATATATGTAGTCTACTGTAGCATATATAACTCTGCAGATTTGGGAGGAAAATAAAGATAAAAGACAGAAATCGAATGGAATATCTTTAATGGTTGCTCTGCAACTTTATATTTGATGCATTTTCACACTTTCACGCAGCAGATAAAGACTAAAGAATAAATAGCATATATTAAATCTCAACCCAGATCTTCAGTTATTGATATATAACACAGAGTCGCATATATCATTGCAGCAGAGTTTGTTGTTGCTCCAGCACAGACATCTCTAGAGATCCTGACACCGTGTGTTTTGATCCTTATTAGCTTTTAATCCAAACAAAGTTGATCCAGGAGTTGCAATGCTAGCATGTTCATTTATATCAGTTTCTCCATATGGGATTAATACTGAGGTGGTCTGTGGTATTTTTCGGCCATGCACCCACACTGGTACAGGATAGGGTCTACATTGGGGCCGGTAGCTAATGTTGAAGAAAGGCTGCCGGTGAACCTGGTAAGAAGCTGCAGAAGAGCTGCCAGCAGATGTGGTCATGTAATCCTGTGGATAAGGAAATATATTTCCTTGCGCTGAGACGAGCACTCCCTGTGAAAATCAGATCAATCAATCAATCAGACAATAATGAAATAATAAACGTGTTATATTTTACACACAACCTGAAAGCAATAAAATCAACAATGATATAATGTTTTACAATTGAAGTCAAAATTATTAGCCCCCCTGAATTATTAGCCTGCCTGTTTATTTTTTCTCCAATTTCTGTTTAACGGAGAGCAGATTTTTAAACACATTTCTAAACATAATAGCTTTATTGACTCATTCCTAATAACTGATTTATTTTATCTTTGCCATAATGACAATAAATAATATTATACTACATATTTTTTAAGACATTTCTATACAGCTTAAAGTGACATTTAAAGACTTAACTTGGTTAATTAGGTTAACTAGGCAGGTTAGGGTAATTAGGCAAATTATTGTATAATGATGGTTTGTTCTGTAGACTATCGGAAACAAATGTATAGCTTAAAGGGGCTAATAATTTTGACCTTAAAATTTTATTTAAAAATTAAAAATTGCTTTTATTCCAGCCGAAATAATACAAATAAGACTTTCTCCAGAAGAAAAAATACTATCATACTGTAAAAATTTCCCTGCTCTGTTAAAAATCATTTGGTAAATATTTAAAAAGAAAACAAAAAACAACGGGTGGCTAATAATTCTGACTTCAACAGTATGTCTTATATTTATTTTAATATACAGTTGAAATCAGAATTTTTAGCCTATCTGTAACATTTTAAATCTTTTAAAGTTCTGTTTAACAGAGAGATTACTTTGTCAGCACATTTCTAAACATAATAGTTTTAATAACTAATGAAGAGTTCATATGCAAAATCCTCTAAATGCCATCTGTAAGTTTCTCCTAAAATAAGCATTTTTCTCAGCCTCCTATATTTATGTTCAAGTGTTTGACTTTAAAGGCAATGAAAAGAACTTCTTTGTCACTATAAAAGTAACATTTCTGAGTCCGAGAAAGATGCTAATTTTAATATAAAATATCAAACAGCATTTAGAGGTTTTTGCATCTAAACTCTTCAAATTTCTAATAACTGATTATTTTTATCTATGCCATGATGATAGTACATCATATTTTACTAGATATTTTTTTAGTATTCAGCTTGAAGTCCAATTTAAATGCTTAACCTTAATGAGGTTAATGAGGCAAGTCAGTGTAATTGGGCAAGCCATTGCACAAAAATGGTTTGTTCTGTATCCAATTTTTAAAAAATATTGCTTAAGGAGGCTAACAATATTGACCTTAATATGGTTTTATAAAATGTAAAAACTGCTTTTCTTTCATCCTAAATAAAACCAAAAAGACTTTCTCCAGAAGAAAAAATATTATCGGAAATACTGTGAAAAATTCCATTAAATATCACTTGTGTGAAATGTTTAAAAAAGAATAAACATTTCACAAGAGGGTTAATAATGCCCCCCTCAACTGTATATATTAATCTTAATTTTCAAACAAAATTTGTAGTTTTAATAAATAATCTGTGGTATTAAATCAAATAAGTTCCCACGGTGGATAACAGCCCTACCTGAGAGGTCATTCTGTGCTGCTGAAAGTTCGGTGGTAAATCTTGCATGCCAGTAAGTCTTTGTTGTGAGGACGAGACTGAAGTGGTGTAACCTTGACCCTCTCCTTCATTTGACCTTCTAGGTATCCAAGAACCAGTTGCTTCAGATGCCAAAAGTGGAAGTGTTCCAACATAATTAAACTGACATAAATTTGACAAGACGTGTGACGGCAAACGCAGAGAATTAATTAGGCCTGGAGTGGGGAAGTAAAAGTGTCGAGCGAGCGAATCCTTCTGAGAAGCATCAGTCACATCAGCTGCAAACTTCTGTTGTTCAGCATGTTTTTTATCCAAGGGTAAATGCGCAGGTTGCTCTACACTGTGCTGTTTCTTGCTGTTGATCTCAGGGTTTCTGTCTCCTATCTCCTCATTTGGATCATCCTTGGACTCTTGCACGGTTGTGGAGATTTCTCTGGAGTTTTGTTCGTCTTGAGAAATTGACTGGATTGACTCAACTTCATTGCTTTCCTTTTCATCCCCAAATCCATCAATGTCACTCTCATTTGTATCTGAATGTGTAAAATATCGGAATAAATAACTTAAGGATGTGTGTTAGAAATAGCATTTAAAACATTGTTAATACAATACATTATAAAAAAAAAAGTATTAATAAATATTGAAATTTTATATAATGATATAAATTAACTTATAATTAATGCTTGATAATGACT